GGTTTTTTTTGCAGCTTTATATTAACTCTAGATATCTGGTAGTATAAATCCTCCCATTTTTTAAAAGTGTTTTGCCTCTCCTAGGTCCTCTGTATTTGCATATCAGTTTCAGAATCACCTAAACAAGTTGTATAGGAAAGCCTGTTGGATTACATTGAATCTATGGATAGGTTGGGGGGCAAGTTGCATCTTAACCTTGAATCCAAATTCATATTCATGAATATGGTATTTCTTCAAACATTTAGATAAAGGGCTGGCAAATGTCTTCTGTAAAGTGTAATGTAGTAAATATTGTTTATGCTTTGCTAAATTATACGGTCTCTGTTGAAATTTCTCAACTGCCAAAGCTGCCATGCCCAAATGATACAAATGGGTGTGGCTGAATTCTAAAAACAAAATAGGCTAAAAGCTGTAGGCCATAGTTTATCAATCTTTGATTTAGGTCACCTTCAGTTTCTCCCAGCAGTACTTTGTACTTTTCAGCATATATGTTGTTAAATTTATGCTTAAGTATTTTATGTTGGATATTTTTGTAAATTAATTTCTTAAAACTTTTAATTTCTAATTATTGATTGATGTATAAAACATATAATTTGTTTTTATATACTTATCTTGTATCCTGCTAAATTCACTTACAGTACTAGGAATTTTACTGGTGGATTCCTCAGGAACCTATTCTCTGGAAATAAAGACACTTTAAAAAATTATTTTATTGATTAAGGTATCACATATTTGTTCTCATCAACCCCATTCCCATTCCAAACCCCTCCCCCACATGCCTCCACCCTCCTGTTGTCTGTGACCACTGATTAGGCTCATATGCATGCACACAAGTCCTTTGGTTGATCTCTCTCCCTCATCCCACCCTCCCCTACACTTCCTCTGAGGTCTGACACTCTGATTGATGCTGTTCTTGTTCGTCAGTCTATGTTGTTCATCATTTCCCCTAGAAGAGTGAGCTCATGTGATACTAGAAATACACTTATAAGAACCTAAAATGAGACAAGCAATAATCGTTATGCTGAGAGGCAAATGAATCATTCTATAGTGAGTTATTTTCTGTGCCAACAGTTCTTTTGAGTCCCAATTTCTATGTCAAACAGTTCCTTATATGTACATGTCAGCAATGATATTTCAGATCTGGATGGTGGACAAATGGTGGTAATGCAGGTCCGACCCTCTCTGGTTTGGTCCTGGGCAACCTGCAGTGATGCACAGCTGCTGACTGCTAGTATGGCAAGGCATGGTCAGCGTCTTCCTTCTCTGTGTTTCTCTTCTGTCTTCATGACTGGAGCACTCCTGTCAATTCCTCTCTGTTGCAGGAATCCACAAAGTCTCAGAGTTGTTTTCTAAAAATATATAAACATATTCTCGACCAAAAATTAATAAAGAAGTCTTTTCTATAAATTTGACTTGCAATCCTATTTCTTTCCATTCTTTATGACTTTTTTTTTTTTTTTTTTTAATCTTATTGCACTGTGTAGGTTCTCCAGTACCAGTTGAATAGGAGTGATGAAAGCAGAGATCTTTGGTCATAGTTGATTTTAGGAGTAAAGTATTCCTCTTTCACTATCAAGTAAAATGTTAGCTACAGAATTTTTTATAGTTTCCCTTTATTAGATAGTTTCCCTCCATTTCTTGTTTGCTGAGAGGTTTCATCATGGCTGAAGGTTTAATTTTGTCAAATGCTTTTTCTTTCTTTATTCAATTACTACTGAGATTTACATTGATTGGCTTTTACTGGCAAATGTTATCATTTTTATACATTAGGTTAGAGTTTTAATATTTTGTTAAGAAATTTTGTGCCATGTTCAAAAATATTCTGCTGTAGATTTCTTTTCATATAATATTTTTGCTGATTTTGCCAAAGCAATTAATGGCCTCATAAAATAAGTTCCTGCTATATTTTCTTAAAGTTAGTATAAGATTGGCATTATTTTTCCTTAATTCTTGAATGGAATTTGTCAATGAATCCATTCAAGTCTAGAGTTCTATTTGTGTGAAGGGTTTTAATTATGAATTAAATTGCTTTAATGGATATAGATTAATTTAAATATTCTGTGTGTGTGTGTGTGTGTGTGTGTGTGTGTTATCAGCTTGCAGCTTTCAAGGAACTTATCTCTTTAAGGTGTCAAATTTATTGCCACAAAGTTGTTTTTTATATTCTTTATTTATTTTTGTCTATAGTGCATGTAGTGATGTCTTCTTTTTCAATGTTGATATTGATAATTCTGCATTTTACCTATTTTTCCTGATCAATTTCTCTAGAGATTTGTCAATTTTATTAATCTTTTCAAATTAATAACTTTTTCCATTGATTTTGATTTTCTGTTCTATTTTAGCTTTTATCTATTGTTTCCTTCTTTATCTTTTTGCATATTTTCTTCTTTTTTCCCTATTTGTAGTGGCACTGTAACACTCAGACCAGCTTCATTACAGAAATACATTGAGATCAGGAAGCATAAATTCAAGGGAACTGATGAGTTCCCTCCCTGGTGGGGGCTAAAACTACTCTCAGGAACGTTTTGTGTTGGAAGCCATGGTGAGTAGGCTGCAGAAGGTAGGAGATGCATACTCAAGCCAGACCTGAGTTCAAATTTTTGCTGGGCCACTCAATTGCATGTGACCTTAGGCAAATCATGTAATTTCTCTGGGTGTTGGTTTCTCCATCTATAATATGGACATAATAATATTATAGGTCATATCTCACAGCCTTGCCATGAGGGTTTAATGAATTAGTACTTGTGCTTAGCAAGTACCTGGGGACACACCATAGAGATTATAGATATATTAACTGGTACTGCTACAGCTCCAAAAAAGCGGTAGTTTAAGAAGCTCTTGAAAATTTAAGTCATCTTTAAGAGGAGGAATATTACTCTATTGTCAGGACCACCAAAAAGTCAGAGGTGGGAGCAACCTTGAGGTAAGGCTGCATTTCAGGTCTGTTTCAACCAAAATGAAACTGGGAGTATCATGGGTCATGTTTTTCAAAGAAAGACTAACTTATTCCTGACCTGTGATTTATTCTTAGAAGAATCATAAATAAGGTCATAGTTATGGACTTTGAACACCAAACCAGATGAACTTTCAACTTCTTCCTCATAGTCTCAGAATCTATAGAAAATATTTACTACTAATTTATTTTAAAGACTACTGCCAAATTGTTAAACATTGTCTTTGGATGAAAAAACCAGACACTAAAATTTATTAAACTTTAATTTTATTTTTAATTCTTTAAATTAAAAAAATATATTATGGTCAATTCTCTGAGTTTAGTTAATTTTTGCTGTTTTCCACATTATAATTATATCAGTTATCTTCAGGCAGTTTCAAATTATTTCATCAATTTTGGTCTTTGCTTTTAACATATATAGTGGAACATGTTCATTGGTGTGAGTAATTTTCAATATCTTGCCAAACAGCCTGTGGCAACTGAAAAGCAAGATGCATATATTAGATTTTTCTGTTTGTGCTCAATGCAGCAAAAAACAATTTATGCTGAAAACCCAACTTTATTGAATTGCAGGCACCTACTAGTATATAACTAATTCAAAAAATACTTCTCTTTCTGTAATTAAGGAAGCAATATTGACCTATATAGTTGGCAGGCAAGTGGTATAGCATTTTTTATGGCTATAATTATTCCATTTCACTTTATTGTTATCTATGCTATTTTATCTCCCCAATCTGACTAAATCTATTCTATATCATCCCGCCTGTCTTGTAAGCTTGATCAATATTTGAGACCAATTTTATTAATCTATGTACTCAGATGGTGCTTTAAAGCTCAGCTTTAGGAAGAAAATTCCCAGTGTTGTGCAAACTTTTCAGTAGCTTAGAACATTCAAGATGGCCCTGTACTCAAAGTGCACTGTCAGCCACTGATCCCCTCAGCCATGGGGACCGCTGACAAGGTTCTGGATCCCACCAGCCCAGTGAGCCCAGCTATGTGTGGAATCTAGTTTTCCCAGGTACCCAAACAGCAGGATTCGGGATGTGAAAAAACTTCCTCTGGCAGCAGCCCTATCTGACTCTGCTACTTGGTACTGAGGTAGCCAGTGAGGGGCCTTACTGTCTGGACATCTACTTCTGCCCCCCTCTGCAGAGCACACAACAGCATTGACCACAAGGGGTACAGCGGGAGTTCATTCTGCAGTACGCTCATGGAGCTTTGCTGTCCTCCTAGTTGAGGCTGGGAACACAGATCCATTTCTCCATCCTAAACTCCAGATGCACCCGGGGACACACTGTAGTCCTTTTGTGGCTGTCATATCTTTTAAACGGACTCCAATCCAGATGCAGGCTTCACAGGGCGTGCTCATGCTGCAAATCCAAATCAGAACTTCAGCACATTGCTATGAAAAAAATCTGATCAGATTTGAAATCATTAGCATCATCATGAGAAAATTGAACAGGAAAGAATGATAGTTTCATTTCCAACTATGGTGGAATTTTGAATGATTGTAAAAAAACCTTTTTACGTTTTGATATTTCATTTATTTTGTTGATAGTGATTATTTAGAGATCAACTTTTTCATAAAGATATGATTTTTATGTAGAATTTTATGCAATCTAATATTCAAATCACTTCTAATATTTTTCTATTTTATTTTTAACCGTCAGGATGACCTAGAACACATCGAGTCAGACAAATATTTTACTAAGCTCCAGGGAGCCTTATTATTTTTTTCTATGACATAACCCTTAAAACTTTGGTGGAGTACTTTGCATTTGGGATTTTCGGTGGCTCACAAGTGCAAAAGGTTCTCCCAAGTGCTTCCAAAAATGGGCACGCAGATCCCTCAGCCTTGGCAATAAAATCAGTCAAATGTTACAACAATAAAGTTTCACAGGACCCGATGAAATGGGGCCAAGTGTAATGTTTACACTCAGCTTGATCAGCGGACAGACTCCCTTCGCGTTCAGCCTCGGTGCCAACTGCCTTGGACAAAGTAATTACCCAACATTTTCCCTTTAAGACTTCAGAGCCTTCCTTCTTCCACCTTGTGCAGCCAGCCAAGGGGCTGGTCTGGAGAAGCCGCCCACTGTGATCCACACATTTTCCCCTTTCCTCTGGGCAGCTTGGACAAGCACCACGCCCGGCCTCCAGGCTTCTTGGGGGCAGCCTCCTGCGCCATGCCTGGCTCTGTGGCAGGTGGGCTCCGGCTATCGCCTCCTGCTATATGGGCAGATGCCCAAGAAGATACCAGATGCCCAAGGAGATCCCGGCCGACACGAGACCAGCCCTCTCGGACCACCTCCCAAGACCCCTCCAGGCTGTGCGCCCCTGCAGCGCGGTGGTGCCAGAAACCTGCCCGGCGCTACCAAACCCAGGGGAAGCGCTCAGCCGACACCATTCCCCCTCCCCCCATCACCTTGGGTGTTTATCTTGGCTTCTGCTCCTCACCCGTTTCTCTTTCACTTTCTTTTAGCTGGGGCGTTGGAGCTCCTGGAGTTCAGAGCGCTCACCCAGTTCCCTCGCATCCCGGCGCAGTCGCTCCAAAGGAAAGGCAGTCGGGCGGCCGCCCCTCACCCTGCAGCCAGCACTCGATGGAGGTACAGAGCACAGCCTCTCAGCTTTGGGAAGGGAGGTGTTGGTGGATGAACCGGCGATAGAATTCCCCCAAGTAGTCTGCGTCTTGGACCCCTCCCACCTCCAGCTGGACCCACCCGTCTCCGACGGCCGGCAGCCCCGCCTTCTTATCGGGAACACTTGACTTCAGTTTTCAATTGCATTTCGTGCAGAGGTTTTTCACCTTCTGGCCTTTTGTGGCCTCTTCTCGCCATCCCCCGCTTCCAGAGGAGCGCAGATTGCCGGCGTCTTGGCCGTTCCCCGGTGCGCTCCTCTCTCTGCGCGTTGCCGGCTGCAGAGGAGGCTCCAGGTGGGCTGGCGGAGAGCAGTGACGCGCGCCTGACTACCATCGCCAAGCCGCCGGTTCCCAGAGAAGACTGCACCTGGCTGCACAAAGCGCTGAGTTTCTCACCTCATTGGGCTCAGTAAGTTCAAGAAAGATACTTCGTCTTCCCGCTTCTTCCCTGTTTCCTCCCAAACCTCCTGCAGGCCTGTGTGAGCCTGCGCGCGCAAGAACACACAGGACTCTCTCTAGCTTTCCTGGCAAAATCAAATTTCCCTCCTTTTCTTTGGTCAGGAACCTTGCCTTCCAGGGAGAGGAATTTGTAGGAATGGTCACTTTTGGGCTGTCAGACCTGGGTCTGTGTTTTTAGGTCCAACCCTAGAACAAGACATCTGTCTCTTAGAAAAGCAGTGTCAGAAACTTGGAAGAAGTGCAGGCGATTTGCATTGCATTCGAATCCTTGTTCAAGGTGGTTTTAAATGAAATTCCAGTGAATTTCTTCAAGTGTTGTTGAGACGGCATTTGCAAGTGTATACAATTTATTTGAATTTAACTACGTAATTCCATGCACTTAAGGGTTTCTAAACCTCTGTGTATGTACAAAATACACTAAGGTTATTCTTCAGTGATGCTTATAACAGATTCTTAAATAGTGAGTCAGACGTTTTGAAACTAGGGGTGAAGTGGTTGTCACTAGCTATTATTTACCACTGTGTTTTGTTCGTTTTTAAAACTACTTTCCTTTTTATTGAATGTATTGTGGGTGAATGGTTAATAAAATTATATTGGCTTTAGGGGTACATTCTATAATACAGCTTCTTCCTCATATTATAACACTGGTGATGGTGTCAACTTGTAGCTGATAGGCATCTTCATCTTGTCCATGTGCCCGCAGAGGCTTTACTCAATCTGGATGTCACAGCGCCCTCCTGGGTGAACTGGGCAATATAGATGAAATTTTGAAATCTTGCCCTTTGGTGAAAAAGCCGGGTCAGTGGGTGTGGTTGACAGAAGAAGGAGATACTAAAGAAAGAATGTGAAGGAAAAAAAAAAAAAAAAAAAATATATATATATATATATATATATATATATACACACACACACACAATATATATATATATGAAAGAAAGGACTGAAGACAAAGCAATAGCCAGTTTAGATTTTAAAAGTGATGAAAACTTTCCTTCCTATAGTTAAGAAGTGTCAGAAAGTTCTGAAGTTTTTGTGGTAGTGTTTTAATATCATATTCTTATATCTCTCCCTCTGTTTTATGTTCTCAAAACAGTTTTAGTCATACTCAGAATGGTCTTCCCTGCAGCCCTCTGCTCTGGGACAAAGTGACAGAAAGGGGTTGGGTTGGCCACTGGTCCAGAAGCTTGTACTAGGCAGAGTGTTATCAAGATTCTACTCAGCCTTTTAAATGGGTCTCAGACCTCGAACAGTTTTTGAATTCACTGCTCTGCTGATAAGGAGTAGAAACTCCAGAACCTGATTTGAAGCTATAGTTCTGGAATTTGGAATTTTCCTAGGGATTACTGGTGGGTTTAAGAAAACCAATGGGATGCTTTTTGTCCTAATCCATGAGATTCAGATTTAAATGTGAACAGCTGTATCACAAATTATGTCTGTCAATGAATGGCATGTTTGTAAACTTCTTTGGAAGATGGGGGAATAGCAGTTTAAAGTTTATTGAAATAGTTTGATAACTGGAGGATTTTAAACCCTACGAGGTCCTCAGATTTGCCTGCTCTGAGTAAACCTCAGGAAGACTGGCAAGGAAGTCCTGAAATTTGTGTATAAGTGTATTTTTCCAAGGACAATACCCATAATTCTAATCAGCTTTTTAAATGGGTCTTGGACACAAAACACTTTTTAAAATATTTTAAAATTTAGAAGACTGTCTCTCCCCCCCCCCCCCCATACTTACTGTTAAGTTTTGCTCTTCTGTATCTATTCTTTTGAAGGTTAGCTAATGGTAATTCAGAATACTGTCTTTGGGCCCATAACTTGAATTATGGAAAATAATACTAACCCTAGCTAATTTTTTGAGATCTTATTATGTATCAGATGTTCCAAGAATGGATGTATTTTTTAAATTGTCATAGTAAACTTATGTGGTAATAAGGATTGTATTTCATAGCTCAGGAAATGGAAGCATAGTGCAATTTATAACTTCCCCAAAGTTACAGCTAAAAGGTGGTAGAGCTGTGATTTGAACCCAGACGGATTTGGACACTGGTATTTATGAAGTGTGATATTATTTCCATAGAAATACTTCCCACAATTTGACAGTGACAATCAACCCCTATTTCATTTTGATGCAGTGTTATAATTATTGAATGTTGAGTTTAAAGCAATGCTTACATGCTTCTTACATGATTGACATAATATACTTAAGGATTGCCTTTATAACCAAATAATATTCACAAGAGTGTTTATATGTGTTTGGTTGTTTGGAGACATTTCATTTTATGGTTCCTGAATGAAAACATTTGTTTAATTTGTATCTTTTTTTTTTTTTTTTCTGACAGTAGTGGTAACTGTGGATTGATCTATATGTTTCTGTCTATTGATCTACCTATCTATTCATCCATCCAAACAGAAACCTGGGATTCATGGGGAGATCAGGACAGAAGACTTTCCCATTCTATCACTACTGAGGTGGTAGAGTCAGCTATTTGAGAAGTCTGCTTTCAGAAGAATTTAAGGTATGACAGTTGGCAAAAAGCCAGCTTTTTTCTTCAGCTCAGTATTAGCTCTTGGATTAATTTACCCAGTAATTGCAAATTACTGCATGAGACTATTGAGACTGAACATTGCCTAAAAGCTTGCTGCTACCCTAATGGATGGATTGGATGGGAAAATCCCATAGGAGAGTTAGAGAACATCTGGGGATGTAGCTAGTATTGGAATGCGTTATGACTATTGTATTTATTACTTTGCTCTATGTCAAGGAGTGGTTTCTTTAAAAAAAAAAAAAGTTGTTTAGTGCTGGAATCAGAAATAGAAAATAAAAGGCCCTTTGATCTCACTTGTACATATTTTATATCAGGAGGAGGGTATTTGTATGCATATATTTTCCAGTGTTTTTATCCCACTTTGAGTCTATTGGTGTCTTGCCAGTCATTTTCAGAAGAGCAGAGGACTGTATATAGACCACATAAAAATGGACCAAGAACTCTGAGTCCCTATTAGCTGATCATGTTTAAATAATACACAATTGTTTCTTCCACCAGTGCTGACAGGATTCAGGAAGATCAGGAGAATGACAGAAAGTATTTACTCAGATAAAGGAATTGAAACTGAAAATATATTCTAGAAGAAGAATATATGAAGCTTGTAAGGTTGGGGGGAGGGAGAGAAGCTCTACTTATCACAGGGACATGGAGAGAGACCTGTGACACATTCAAGGATCTCTTGCGTCATTTCTCCCTTTGCACACTGTTAGCACAGACTTCTGAAAATTTCAAATAATTATTCTTCAACTGAACATGTTACAGTTAGAAATCTTACAATATAGCTTTCTGATTTCTTTGACTTCCTTCATCCTCTGCAGCAACAAAAGTAAGTATTGAAATGTAATCACTTAAGAAATAATTTTAGCCAAACCGGTTTGGCTCAGTGATAGAGGAGCATCAGCCTGCGGACTGAAAGGTCCCAGGTTCAGTTCCGGTCAAGGGCATATATTATACCTTGGTTGCGGGCCCATCCCCAGTAGGGGTGTGCAGAAGGCAGCTGGTGGATGTCTCTCTCTCATCGATGTTTCTAGCTCTCAGTCTCTCTCCCCTCTTTCTGTAAAAAATCAATAAAATATATATATTTTAAAAATAAATAATTTTATTGTTGAAAACTCTTATTTATGTTACTTTAACTATTATTAGTCCGTGATTAACCAATATAACTCATTAACTTTTGATAAGAAATTATTAGGCATAAAACTAAAGTACATTGGAAGTGTATATGCGTACAGAGGTAAATATGGGTGGTGTTATGATCAAGGCTTTCTCTGGAGAGGGTTTTGCTAACATCCCTTTTTCAGATTGCCCCTTCATTTGGCCAGAGGCAGGGTGAGATTCTGGAGGGGGAGAGAGATGCCTTTCTTTTGTAAAATGGGAGGAGGCTGATTATGAAAGGGGAAGAGGGAAAGAAGAACTTGCTAGAAATCTGCTTGCCTCAGGCACATTTCAGGCATACCACTCAAAACACAGTGAGTATGGAAATAGATTTCTTTAGAACTCTCTATGCCCATACAGACCTTGAACAGCTGGGAGCTTCCTGAATGCCTGCACCTCACTTTGAAGGTCTCTGATCTTGTTCTTACTTGTTGCCAACCTCCCACCTGTTTAGAGGGAGTAAGTTCCAGCGGGGCTTGGGGACTTGGGGGTTTGAGGTCTTGGATGGCTTTTGCAATCTAATCTCTTCCACCCTCTGCTCTGGTCACACTTTCTTTGGGCTCTGTACACACTTGCTTTGTGTCAGCTTTCCTGTGTCCTATTCAAAATGCCCACCCTCTGTAGCTTTTGCTGCCCCTTCTACTGCCCAGGCTGAATGATTTCCTCCCTTATATGAATGTATTTGGTGCTGCCTGCATTCCCCTATAATAGCTTTTGTCTCTGTAGATTCATCTTATTATGTGTTTGTTTCTGCAGTTATGTTTTAAATAAAGATAGGACAGTGTGGCTTGTAGGCCCAGCCAAGGGCAGGTCATATAGTTGACTTTTATTGACTTCTGTGAGAGTAAGTCAGGTCACCTAAGAGCATCTCCATCTCAGCAGAGGAATGTAAAACGTATAGAAAACATAAGTAATATAGCGATGTTACAATATTATAATTAAAGCAGTATTTTAGGAAATTTGGTCTGGAGAAGGATTTATTGAGGAAAAATCACATCAGAGGTAAGGGAGCGAGCCATAAATTCATGGCAGTCTTTCAGGTGTGTAGTCTCTTTCCTATCATCTGCTCAAGAGCATAACTCTAATAATTCATCCTTTCTCTCCACCATCACTACTTTTCACTCTCTGATGGGTCTTTCTCATCACTATATATAGCCATGTTATATTTTCCCCCATTTAAAGACACACACACACACACACACACACACACACACACACACACACAAATGCTCGTGTTTCTTGCCGTAGTTTTTCTATTTCCATTGTATGGAAAATTTTCAAAATCAATTCAGTTCTCTGTCGCCAATTTCTCTCTTCTTAATCTCTCTTGAACCAGCCAGGTTGTGGTCCCCACTGCTCCACTAAAAATGTACTTGTCAGAGGTTCTAAGAACCCCCACGCTAAATGCAGTGGTCAGTGCTTGACCATGAGAGATAGCTCTTGTTAGCAGTTGAGAAGGCTGCTTCATGTTCATAGAGAGTTAGGAATCTAGAGACCTTTTGTGTTCTCGCTTTTGTTTTGCTGGTGGTACTTTTTTTTTTTTTTTCAGTATAATTTTCTTATAAATCTTAGGGGCTTCCTGTAAAGTTTTTCATTCCTTGAGAAAAAGACATAGACACAAAACTCTTAAGACAGGCTCCTCTTGACTTTGGCTGCAAGTCAGAATGCTGAAGGAGGAGCCCTTAGGGTTTCAGAGGTGCTTCTGTCTTCCTGACAGAGGCACTACATTTGAAATCTTCCTGAGGTCTCAATGAGAGATTTTTTCCCAGCCATACACTTGATTTGATCTTTAACCTGAGAGCATATGGTGCTAATAGACCCCCGGCTGTGATTTTTGCCCTAAAACGACTTCTTTCTTTAATAATCTGTTTGCTGTTTGCTGCCTAGACAAGCAAGCATGACAATAAATTTTCTTTTCCAACTTAGCAAGTCCTGATTTCCTCTAAATTCTGCTGAACATTTCACTTCATCTTTCTCTTCCTGTAATTAATCCTAGGCAGCTAAATGATGTCAGTTATCACATTTAGAAATCTTAAGCATGTCCACAGTTCATGAGATACATTTCCTTAATTCTGTATTATTGCTGGTGACAGTATTGCCAAACATCTTACTATTATATATAACACTAGAGGCTCATGTAGGCCTGGCTCACAATCAAGGCCTATCGGCTCCTTCTGGCTGCTGGCTGGGGCCTTCCTCCATTTCGCGCCACACGCTGGTGTTTAAGCACATGTCACAGCAAGTGATCAAACTCCCAGTCTCCTGGTCAAACTCCCGAGGTGACAATTTGCATATAAGGCTTTTATATGTATAGATGAGTAGCCCTCTTTCTGGTAATAATTTCATCATTGCCTTTCTAGCTGACAGTGTCCTTGTTTCCCTTCAGGTGTTTCTCCACCACCTGATCTCTTGCTAATTTTTGTGCCAGTTCTTAATTGCTATGTAATAAACTACCCCCAAATTTGTTCAAGGTTACCAACCTAGAAATTTGGGCAGAAAAAAAAAGGAAATTACTTATCTCTACAATGTCTATGCTTTCAGCTGGTATGACTCCAAAGCTCAAGAACTGTCTGAGATGGCTTAAGACATTGGTTAATACATATGGGTCTCAGCTATGGCTGTTGTCTTGTTCCTTCTTCTCACTTGGCTCTTCCACCAGCTAAACTGGACTTTCTCACAGCATGATGTTCTCATGGTTGTCAGATTCCATTCATAATATCCAGCTTCTATAAAATAGGAAGTGAGAGCTTCAGTTGCTCTTAAGAGGCCTGGGTATGGAATTCCCGGGTTGTCACATATGTCTCATTCCATTGGAAAAGCAAGTCAGAATGTCCTCCCAGAGAGGATATTCTCTCTCTCTCTCTCTCTCTCTCTCTCTCTCTCTCTCTCTCTCTCTGTCTCTCACTTCATCTCTTGATAGGTAATGTTGCCATGCTTGTTCATGGAAGGAAGGCATTGATTGATGGCAGCTATCTTTTGGAAATCTGCCACACATTGTGATCTTGTTTAAATAATAATTCAGTCGTGCCATTCCTCTATTCAAAACTCTCTACTGCTTTCTCACTTCACTTCACTTCATTAAAAACCAAATTGCATTGCAATGGTCACTGAAGCGACAAATGATTTCTATCTTCATAATCTCATCCACTACTTCTCCCTTAGCTCACCAATTCAGTCACATTGGTAAGCTTTCTATTCCTCAGCCACACTGCTCCATCCTTATCTAAGGGTCTTTGAACTTGGTGTCCTTCTGCCTAGAATGCTATTCTCAAAGATCTGACCCACTCCCTTAACTCTTTCAGAGCTTGGCTCAAATACCCCTTTTGAGTGAGGGTTTCCCTGACCGGTGTACTTCAAACTGTACTGCCGCCAGCACTCTGGGCTTAAACTCTGCTCCACACACCTATTACTATTTGACATACTACCAGTTTTTTGTTTTTAAAAAAAATATTTTTTGTTGATTTTTCACAGAGAGGAAGAGAGAGGGATAGAGAGTTAGAAACATTGATGAGAGAGAATCATCAACCAGCTGCCTCTTGCACACCCCCTACTGGGGATGTGCCCACAACCAAGGTACATGCCCTTGACTAGAATCGAACCAGGGACCCTTCAGTCCGCAGGCTGATGCTCTATCCACTGAGCCAAACCAGTTTTCGCACATACTACCAGTTTTTTTTTTACAGTGTCACAGCCAAAACTCTTAGAGTCAGATATGTGTAGCATTCAGAGTCTTTTCCAGATTTTGGAAAGATAATTGTTATAGACTGAATTGTGTCATGCCCTTCCTTCCTCCCTCCAATTCATATCTTGAAGCC